ATTATTTAAAGCTATTCAATGTTTTAATCCTCAATTTATACAAGTTAGTCAAGCAAGATATAATATTCAAAGATATATTGAAATCAAAGAATTTAAAAATCCTAGTAGCATTATTTTATTTGAATAGAGAATTTATTGTGAATTAAATGAAGATTTTGAAGAAGATAATGAATTAGATTTAAATAAATACTGGAATGATAAAAAAAAAATTATCTTTCAAATTTGTCTAAAATAGCATTAATGTATATTTGGCTTCCAGTATCGGAAGTTGATATAGAAAGAAGTTTTTCATCTTATAGAAATATTCTTAGTAATAAACATTATTTATTATCAGAGAAATCAATTTCCATTTTAAATTTTTTATATTTTAATAAGGATTAATAAATATAATAAAATTTTCTCTTTTTTTTCACATTTTTTTAACTTTTTTGCATTTTTTGCAATTTTTTACATTTTTTCACATTTTTTTTTATTTTTTTTTCACATTTTTTTGGACATATTATTTCAGCATATATAATAAATTACCACACGCATATTTTTGATTGGCCAATGCATATATGCGGCTGCCCTAATCTGGATGGTACCCCTCTGACTTTGTTAAGTATTAAGAAAAAATCCTACACTAGATGATCACATAGTTCCCCTATCCTGGTTGGGTGAGACATAAATAGATGCCCCTTGTACTATTTGTTGATCTATAAATCCTTAGATAGTACGGGTAATCCAGTTGTTCTTAGGATCTATCTTAGTAATTTAATAAAGGTTCCGATGCTGGCATAGGAATGAGCTAGTGAGTTAAAAAAAAAAAAAAAAAGATTTATTGTAAGATTTAATTACTAATCAGCTAGATATGGATTTGTAAGAACTTAAAATCACTCAATCCTTTAAAAAAATTATTACAAAAATTTATTTTTAAAAATATTGTAAATCAGAATTGATGGACGATCACTATCGTACTTATAATCTAGCACAATATACGACGGTGTTGGCGTAGCAAATTTCTCATAAGCCCTAAACAGTGCGAAAGAAACGAACACTCGATGGCCACTACGTGGGAAGAAGCACAGCAGAATTCGGATGCACAGAAAACCGGAAACTTCTCTTATGCAACACAACCAACACTGGCGGAAGGAGAAACTATGGAGGTCGAAGAAACAAACGGAAGTAGCGTAAGTGAAAACAGTGGCAACATTAATAGTTCTGGACCTATTACAATTCCATTGTTAGGAGGTGGTTCGGGAGCTGGACAAACAAATATTACGCAAAGTGATAATAGGAGTAGTGGAGGATATCCCATCAGGAAATCATATGGAATCCGACATGGAGCCGGTTACAATAACAATAACAACGCGCAACGGGCAGTTTTCGACGGAAAAAGAATGAGGAAAGCGATACAAAGGAGAACAGTTGACTTTAACTGTTCAATCGGTAAATTTCTGCAGGCAAGTTTCATCGACATTCTTTCATTATATATTCTCTGGGCTAATTAAAAAAGAAATCTATATGTATTGTTCAGGATCGCATATGGATGAGAGATCAAAGGGACATGAAATTCTTGCGACCTAAACCGAATTTTATTATAGACGTAAGCTTACTCATATTTAGTCAAGACAGTTTTAATTGTTATTATCTCTAAATTACAATAAATTCCGTCTAGCTTCTTCCACCTTCGGCATATTTACACAATCCAGTCAATGCGATCGCTACAAAATACGTGCACACTTCAACAAACAAAAATCGGTATCCCGTTAATGTGGTTCGGGTAATTATATTCGCATTAATTTTTGTCGGTCTTTTATGAAAATACATTGGATCATAATTTCTCCCCTTCTTTGCTAACATTCAAGTGGACACCTGAGGGCAGACGACTTATTACCGGATTATCTAGCGGAGAATTTACGTTATGGAATGGATTAACATTTAACTTCGAAACTATATTACAGGTACGCATTAAATTTCATTGATGAGCTTTTTATTTTATTTTATTTTTTTTTTTTGGTCGCGGAGTTTGCATTATTACAAGAGTCGAATTCGGAAATGTGTTTATAAGTATCACACATTTTTTTTTTATTTTGATGTAATTTAAAGAATAAAAGCTAAATAAAAGAAGGATTTAATGTAATCCTATGTTAAATGCAATATGGCATTACAGTTTTCACGATTCTAACATAAATATTTGATTTAATGTATACTCCCTAATAATCTTCTTGAATCAATAAATAATGAATATTGATATTTAATTAGCATATATGTTATATATTTTCGGGAAATTTTGGTTCATATATTAAACAAATGCAACAACACACGAATTTATTTTCGTATTCTTATCTCCCCAATCATTTTCTTTTCTTTTCTTTTCTTTTTTTTTTGATATTGTGGATCTTGGGATACTTATTCGATTAACGTCACAAGGCACATGAATCAGCAGTACGAGCGATGAAGTGGTCTCATAACGATAATTGGATGGTAACTGCAGATCATAAAGGTATCATAAAATACTGGCAATCCAACATGAATAATTTGAAGATGTTTGAAGGCCATAAAGAAGCAATTAGAGATTTATCGTGCGTAATTTTAGAAAAAAAAATTTTTTTTGTTATTTGTAATGTTCAATGACTTATTATATGCATTTTAAAATAGCTTTTCTCCTACCGATACGAAATTCGCTACCTGTTCCGATGATGGAACCATTAAGATCTGGGATTTTAACGAAGGAATCGAGGAAAAAGCTTTATCTGGTTGGTTAACTCGGGTCTAAAATTGAAAGCTTTTTATAAATTGGACTGAAATACAAACATAACATAATTGGTTCTTAGGACATGGATGGGACGTTAAAGCTGTTGATTGGCACCCTCATAAGTCACTTTTAGCATCTGGTTCCAAAGACAATTTGATCAAATTTTGGGATCCCAAGTCCGGAAAAAATGTGGATACCTTGTATGTGATTATTGTTATTAATATTTTTATAAGAATGAAAATATTGAGATTAACCCCGATCTCATAGGCACGGACACAAAAATACAATCCTTGGTTTGCAATGGAATAAGAATGGAAACTGGTTAGGGACAGCTGCTAGAGATCAATTAGTCAAAGTATACGATATTAGGATGATGAAAGATTTACAGACGTTCCGTGGGCATAATAAAGAAGTTTGTTGTAAGCATCTTCCTTCTCATAAATGTAGTTGTTTTTTTTCTAAAAAAAAAAAAAAAAAGGTTATTCAACAAATTTGTATATTTAGTCCCAACAGCAATATCATGGCATCCATTCCATGAAAGATTAATGGTAACGGGTGGTTCAGATGGATGCCTAATGTTTTGGATCGTCGGGTAAACTTATTTTAGTGTATCTACACCGTCATCAATGCTTTACTGAAATTATATTTAATTGACCAGACAAGATTCATTAGTTGAAGCGGTTGAGTTTGCTCATGATCAAAATGTTTGGTCACTTGATTGGCATCCAATTGGTCACATATTAGTATCTGGTTCAAATGATCATTCAACAAGATTTTGGACAAGAGCACGACCTGGTGATACAGTCCAAGACAAGTACCACGTTGGTAGACAGAGAGCGGAAGAACTTGGATTGAAAGATGTCGACAGTGAGGATGGCACGTATAATTTATAGGCTTCATATTATTATCTCTCTTACAATTTGCAAGCTAAGAATATATCCATTTCTAGATGATGACTTTGTTCCTGGCTTGACATTCAATAATGGTGGTTTGATGAGCGGATTCCTACCTGTTCCCATGAATCCTTATCCAATAGTTAGGCCAGACTTCATTCAATCATCTCAATCTGAACAAAGACAAGAACCTCTTACTCCACCGAAAATTTTCGATGTCACAGATATTTCATATGTATCGTCTACCACTGACATCAAAGTTGATGAGTTACCTGGACTTGGATTATTAACTAGTAATTCATCCATGAACCAACTGCCACCCGGTTTAAGTTTAAATTCTGCTTCTCCTCCGGGTCTTAGTAGAAGTCAGCCAGGAGGCATGACACGTCCAATTATCAATCAACAAAGACCGCCAACCAATGTTTCACTATCACAACCACAGCAATTCCAACAAAGACCTATGTATCATCAACAGCTTCCTGCACAAACTCAGGGAGGATACATCAGTGGTGATCAACATTCTCATTGGATGGCACAACAACAACACCAACAGCAGCAACAGCAGCAACAACAGCAACATCAGCAACATCAGCAACATCAACAGAATATAGGGCCTAGTGGGAGAGGTCTTGCACGACATGGAATGCAACAACAGGGAGGTCAACGTTGGAGTGGCCAACAAGGCGGAGGTTACCAACAATATAACCAAAAACGGTGGAAATAAATTATTTATTTAAAATCAAAACTACTAGAATTTACTTATAAATATTAGTTAATAACTTAAAAGAATATAAAACTGTCGAATGCTCCAGATTCGAACCAAAAAACTTTTTTTTTTTTTTTTGATTTTAAGTAAAAACAATTTTCTTGAGTCCAGCTTTCCAATTTCTTTTTCTAGAAGAATTTTTTTTTTTTTTTTACATATGCTTGAATAAAGATTATTAAGCAAATACCTATACTGAATACAATCATATAATATTGTTTGTCACAAATTTCACATATAGTATAAAACAGAATTATAAACTATGCTTATTTTGAATTAGTGTAAAATTATTGATTAATTGAAGTTCTAAATATATTTCCTGACCAAAATTCAGGACCGTTCTAATGATTCGCATATAATTTGATAAAAAAATAATACCTTTTATTATAAAATGTTTGAATTGTTTTTTATATGGTTTTTTTAAATAATCACAAAAAAAAATAAAAAAAAATAAAAATCAAATAGAATTCAAGCATAAAAGAATTATTGATTTTTATAAAATTGATAATTTAAAAAAAGTATTTTTTTTAAAAAAAATCAAGATTATAATTAACAATACAATTATAAAATTTTATAAATTTATTATTATTTTTGTTAAAAAACAATTTAATATAAATATTATGTCATATAGTTTTTAAAATTTTTTGTTAATAAATTAACAAAAAATTTTTATTCAAATTAATATACTATATAAAAAAATATTTATTAAAATAAACAATTTAATAATAATAATAATAATAATAATAATTTTTTTTTTAAGTATCTTAGCCAGGCTAAATTATTGATTTATTAATCAATTAAAAACATAAGTATATTTTCATTTGAGCAACATGCTATATACTATAGCTAAAATATTATCCTAATTTAACTAACTCATCATAAGTATTAAAGTCTCTAAGTTTGACTTTGAAAACAATATTTTGCTTTGCAATATCTTTAAGTAAAGACTTTTCTAGTCCACTGTATCATTGTCAGCAGATTGTTATTGTCATATATCATCATACCAAGCTGCTGGAATAAAAAAAACTATAAAAGGATGAATTAAAAAAAAGGAAGGAAAATATTTAAAAATATTCAAATAGATAACAAAAAAATAAAAGAGTAAAATTGAAAAAAAAAATTTTGGCTTTCTTCAAAAACCTGCTTTTCAAGATTTTTTCTAATAAGAAATATATAATTATAATATTCTTTCTTCTCCTGATTGTCTAAGGAACTTATTTATTTTTAATCTTAATTTTCTTTTTATATACTGTCTAAGGAGACTTATCACCTAATAGAAGTCTTTACTTCTAGGATACAATTTGTTCCAACCTTTTTTGAATAATAATTTTTTATTTATCTGTAATAGAAAAATGATTTATAATGGATTTTAGGTTCATATGTAATTCAATAAGAACAGTCATATTGTTTCAGTATAATTATTATTATTAGTTATATATACTTTATTAAATATTTTGTAGACTTTACATATTAATATAATACTAAAGCTAAATCTCTAACTTGATTATTGTTACTTTAAGTATAACTTTGAAAGTGATTTACAGTATTACTCTATTAATAGTTTAGGTAAATACTCTTTCAACTATTAGTATAATTGCTTGCAGGTTATCATTACAAATTACTTTGCAAAGCTCTAATAGAGATTAAAATCCAATTAGTTCATTTTATATTCAATTTCTTTTATTAAAATCTGCTTTAGATTTTTATTATTTGATCTTTCTTCTTGACCTTGATCTTGATATTTTGAACTTTTAGATCTAATTTTCTTACTTTATTCTTTCTATTGATTTCTGTGGCTGTTTCTATTCAATTATTCTTACATATCTTTTATTTCAGATATTCTTTTAAATATGATTACAAATCTTCTTCTACATTTTTGTAATCTATCTATAAACTTTTTGTTTTATTCTTTTATTACAATATTTGAAGTCAGCCATTGTGATAAGCCAGTCACTTCTCATGAGTCCCATATAAAAACTTAAAATCCTGTAATTACTTTTAGAGACTTCTTCTATAAGTTTGAAGATTAGCTTGTCTAGTTTTCTTCTCTCCTCTCTATTATTTGTAATTAGCTATATATCTTTTTCTTTTATTTCCTCTTTTTTTTCTTGAAAATTTCTTAAATTCCTTTAGTATCTCTTTTAATCCTTTCATCCATACTTTTTCAATTGCCTTTTATATATAGAAATTATAAGTAATTTACTATTTCTGCATTTTTGTTTTACTCTATATATATCACTTGATTATAAAAATTTGATCTTCTTATTGTTAGTTTTGTTAGAAGCAGTAACTTATTATTTGCCAATTTCATGAGAAAGCTTTTTTTGTGAAAGTCTTTGAAGGAAATATCTTATATATATCTATTCTTTATTTTATCTCATATAAGATTTCATATATATTTATGCTAATCTTATATTTGCTGATTCCATTTTTCCTGAGTTTTTAGTCTATTGTATCTATTGATAGACTATTGTCTTGCTATTTATATTTTTAATGAATTGCCTTATTGAAGTATCCAGTATTATACTTTGTTATTTAATTTTTGTAATAATTTTGAATGATGTGAGATTTTTCTATTTTATTACAGGAAATTGGAGGGCTTCTTTGACTATAGCATCTGCTTTTTCATTGTATCTATTATTAAAGTAAATCTTAATCTTGATCAGCTCTAGGTTCAGGTGTTTTTTCTTCACAAAATCTAGTATTTATATCTATAAAGATCAGTTTTTCTCTTTTAATCACCTTTTATATATCTTTTTGAATTCTTTTTCTTTTAGTTTTTTCCATTTAAAGATATAGGCTTGACTGTCTATATAGATCTTGATTCTACTTTCAATAAGGACAACTAACAGTATAGTAACTATTGCTATTATTTTTGCTTTTATTAATAATAGCTAGTTTTCTATCCCTGTCTGAAATTTGCTTTTTCTTTCTATTTCTTCTATTTGAATTCATACTACTTCCATTTTTATTTCTTTACTTCCATGATTAGCCAGTAATTTATCAGAATAAAAGATTATTACTTTATTTGACTTTTGATATTATTGAAGTATTTCCATCAAGTGAAAATAATATACACCTTCTTTTATATTGTCTCTAATAATTTTTTTCTCTCAGATCTTAAGTATTTCTTTTTCTATAATTACTTTGCTCCTTGAAATATTTAATATCTGGACTCTTCTAGTAGATTTTCTAGTATTGAGATATGTGACTATATATATCCTATCCTTTTTTTTTTTTTATTACATAATGGTTATTTTTCTTAATACCTTTTGAACATCCAAAGCATTTTATTAGACTTATTGCTTATTGATATTCTTTAGTTACTGAAAAGTTGAAGTGTTTTATTTCTATATTATCTATTGTACTTTCTCTCATTAGATTTTTCTAGATAATTTAATCTTTTTTATTTTCTATAACAACTCACAACTTTTGTCATTTGTCATGATCATGTTTCATTATAGGATATTTTGATTTATATTTTGTTTAATCTATCTTCCAAGATCTGATGAGTTGTTCTATTTCCTCTTTATATAATTTGACTATTAATAGATACTATTTTGGAACTGATTCTTTATTCGTATTCTGCATGAGCTATAACATTCTTCAGTTTCATCTTTCTTTAGTATCTACATCAATTAGTTGATCTATATATATTAAACTATTGTTTCTTAATAAAAGTATAGCTTTTTTGTATTTATCTGATATACTGTAAGGTATTTACTAATTGAACTATTTTCTTTATTCCATTCAAATATGTTGTATTATTTTTAACTTTTAAAAGTTATACCCATATCTCTAGCTAACTTTAACACTAGAAATATAAAGTTGCCTCTATCTGATAGGTCATATAAGAAATTACAGGTAAGTAGATTATTAGGCTCCAGTATCTTATTTGTACTTGTTTGAGTCTAATAACTGTTATAACTCTTGCTGGTTCTTGATTATTAAGTCTATTATATAATCCTATTATTTGACTTTCTCTTTGTAACATCTAGATATTTTTCAAGTTGTGAATTTTTGGATTATATATAACACTAATTGATGTTGATCCACTAAGAACAATTTTATTTTTGAAGAGTTTTTTATATATTATTATTAAGATGTTATATATTTTTCAAAAGAATATACTATATTGTATTTGAAACTCAATTTTTGATATTATAACTATGTTCAATATATAGAGTATTTGTTTGTTAATCACCTTTTTATTTTTTAGAGCTTTGGAGATTACATTGATTTCTCTTTATTCTTTTTTTTTGAATTCAACTATAGTCTTTTAATTGCCTATCCAGATTCTTAAAAACTATGCTTACTCTGTTCTATCTAGTTCTCTAATTATTTCTTTGTTGATACCTGCTTGAACTTCTGTCAGATATTTATTGGAATTATTAATAATAACTAGTATTGATTTGTTACTATTTATTTGAAAGTCATTTGTTTTATAGAAAATTTTTGCTTCTTCTAGAATTTTTTTTTATATTTTTTTTGAATCTAATAATTTATCTAGTATTATTCACTAAGACAATAGTTACATATTGAGATTCTAGTTTCCTATATTATTTTCTATTAGATCTGAATCTAGAAAACTGTTATCTTGTAGCCCCATTCTTTATTGTTTTAAATCTTGCATTAAAAAGGGTTATAGAATATTCTTTATATTAGAGAGAAGGTAGTTTTCTCTTGATTGATTTCATCCCTGATTATTATTGGACTTGTTAAGTTATTTTTTAAATACTCTAAACTCCCTATTTTGAAATAAATTTATAATGAAGCTGGCTGAAATTTTAATTCTTTTTATTATCTTTTTTAATATATCTAGATTGATAGTATCATATACAATACCTTTCTGCTG